TTGACAGTTACGGAGGGAAAATTGTACAAGCAAGTAGAAGGTGCATGATTTTACATAATTCGTCGCTTTTTTCTTCCGAATACTTTAATATTACTTCAAAATGAAAGGAAACTATTTCTATAAAATATGTCAGTCCTTGCAAGCAAATTTTTTATCATTTTTTCAGTTTCATTTTTTCATTTATCAGTTTTTTCAATAATTTGATTTAGAAATGATGAAATGTTGATATATTTAAACATATTTGGAATAGTTTATTTATTTTGTAGTGACAAATATAAAACATGTTGTAATAACGGCGCGTCTGAATAGAGACGTGTCATAAAACCAAACACACGTGAGTCACGCTTTATTTCTACAACACTTTTCACACACATTTATGTCACAAAGATGTTTTACACAACATTATTCAGCTTTATTCATTCACTCTGTACCTGCTAAACCAGGTTTAAACCAGGTTTAAAAACCCAATCTAAACCTGATCTCTAACCCAGGTCTAACCCAGGTCTAAGCTGGGGTTTCATCTAGTTTGTCCCAGCCCTCTCTCTTCCACCACTCTCCTCCTCCCCGTCCTCCTTCTCCTCTTCCTCCTTCTCCTCCTTCTCCTCTTCTTCTCCTGTCACGCTCTTGTCCTCGTCTTCTTCTTCTTCGTCGTGGAGTTCGTATTTTTCCTCCAGTGGTGTGAGAAGTTGCTTTCTCCTCTGCTCCTCTGCTAACGTCTTCGTGGAGCTCTCCAGCTCGGCGTGGGCTTTCTGCAGCTCTTCACGCATCTGCTGGATTTGCCCTTGCAGACCTGTGTTCTCCTGTTCGATCTTTTGAAGTTCATCATAGAGAATCTCCATCTCCTCCGACAGTTCTTTGTTCCTCTGTCGTTGTCTCTCTGTCTCTTTACGCTCCTCCGATAACCTGTTCTCCACTCTTTTCAGATCTGCGGACATGTTCTTCTTATAAGATTTTATAAACATTTCACGAGAGCCTGTGTCATCGACTACTGTCCTCAACTCTTCCAGCTCCTCCTTCAAATTTGCATGTTTTCGACGTTCCTCCTTCAGTTCTCGCAGGTGAGGGCAGACGTCAACTCTTTCGTCGCACCTCATCAGAGTTTCCTCCAGCAACTTGTGGTGCGAGCGGAGCTCCTCCTGTTCCTTGAGCTGTTCTTCTAAGTGGCACTTGATCCTGCCCGATAAGATTTGGATCGTCTCCTGCAGATGCTGGTTCCTATCCGAGGACTTTTCCATCCTCTCTCTCAGATCTTGGTTCTCATGTTCTAAGCTTTGGATCCTCTTGAGCTGTTCCTGGTTCTGATTTTCTAAGTTTCGGATCCTCTCGTGCAGTTCCTGGTTCTCAGTCTTCAAAGACATCTTTTCTGTTTAAATATGCAGTAGAGAGACAGAAAAGCTCTAGTGTAAACGTGCAGTAGTAGCTCTAGTAGCAGTACACGCAGTACACACAGTACACACAGTACACACAGTAGTCGTAGTAGACGTGGCAGTTTTCTGTGTCTGTAGTGTTTGTTTCGTGTTACACTTATAATCTTCTTCAAAACAGTCAATTGCTTTGTGCTTTGTTCTTGTCCTTTACTGATGACGTCATAAAGCAGAGTACTGCTTTGAAGTAGCAGTAATAAAAGTATTAGTAAAAGTATTCTGTCACTTTAGTGTTTATTTCACTGTGTCACTCAAAGTTTACTTCAAAGCAGCGTCGAGCTTCTCTGATGATGTCATAAATCAGAGTTCTGTCACCATGGAGATCCAGGACGGCATTAGAACATCACGTTGCTACGGCGACAGCTTCTCAGGCTCCAAAACTATTTTAGATTCTAGAATGTGACACACACACACACACACACACACACACATACACACACACATACA